TCATTACTCATGATCTTAGATTCATTACAATTTAAGCTTCCGTTTGGGAAGTGGGTTGGCTTTTTGACTTTTTAGCTTTTTTGGCTATTTTAGCTTGGGCTAAAAAGTTTGGTTTGGGAAGGACTTTTTGGCTTTTTGACTTTTTTAGCTTTTTTTTGTGAGAGAAGAGTGTAATGATTATGGGTTGGATGTGATATTTTGTTTTTTATGGCTAAAATAGCCTATTTTGTCTTTTGTGGTTAAAATAGCCAAAAAAGCCCCGTTTAGCTCCTGCCAAAAAATTCATGGGATTTTTAGTTTAAGATTCTTAATATTAGGATTTTATAAAATAAAGGACATGTAACATTTTCATAATAGTTGGAGTCCCTCAATATTTTCACTGAGAAATTTTTAATTTTTCACAAAGAAATTTATCTGTGAAGAGAACTTTCAACTCTACAGAGAGAAATTTCACAGAGAAATTTCAACTTCACAAAGAAATTTCTTTGTGAAGAGTTAAATTTTTTTTAATAATCTTATTGAGTGATCTTCTATATTGGATATCTCTTAGTACCCAAAGTTGGCAATGAATGTCTTACTAATTTTTTCAAAATTCATTATATTATTTTAATTAATAATTGGATATCTCTTAGTACCCAAAGTTGGCAATGAATGTCTTACTAATTTTTTCAAAATTCATTATATTATTTTAATTAATAAAAAAATATACTAGTTTTTTATGTACAGGCTTAGGTCATTGAACGAATTAGTTCATCAAATTCACATGATAGAAAGGGAAACAAAAAAGTGCAGTTTTCTTCCTTAAAATCATCATATATGGATCCCACAAAGCTTGTTCAAATTGTATATTTCGGAAAATAAGTTAATTTTTTTTTAATTTCTTTTAAAAAATATATAAAAAATAAAAAATTAATGTTACTTAAAATAATTTAAAAATCAAAAAATAATTTTTTTAATCACTTGCCAAAGCAAGCCGTTGGGTGGGTTAGGAAAATGTCCACATGCTGCATTTTATGACCAAATGGGTGTCTGATATTTGGACCACTTTCAACAAAAATACAAAAAAGAAAAAAGGACTAACTCTGTAGGTTTTGTGTGCTCTGACTTCTGACTTTTGAACTTGAATGAATGGTTTCGAGTCATGAAACAAGTATGGTGAATTCTAGTTTTTCATGATGATCGTGTATTCAAATTAGGAAAATGTTTAAAATGTTCACAAATCTTTTATATTTTAATTTATAATAATGATTAAACACTTAATAATATGAGATTTATCATTTTTGTCACATATTTGTGAGTGTCTAATATTGTTGTTCAAATTAATAGAATCATGTGACATAAGATAATTTGGCATAGATATATATATATATATGCATAGCAAAATCGGCCCAAGGCTAAGGCCATTGAGGTCGGTGCCGTAGGACTCAAAAAATTAGCCTAAAATGGGACTCTCAAATTTTGAAAAGTATTATAATATATTACAAATATAAATAGGCCCAAATTATTTTTGTTGTTTTAGGACCAATCTAAAGGATCAAAAAATATTCTGCTAGGCTCATATTTGTTTATAGGTTTGGTTTGCCCAATTAAAATTAAAATATATACAAAATGTTGGTGGCCCTTAAATGAAAAACACTGCATATACATACAAAATGTTGGTGGCCCAAAATAGGTCCCTATTTTTTTTTTTGTTTTACTTTATTTCTTTATTAGATTTTAGTAGAATAAATAAATCTGTCCTAATTTTTTTTACCTTCTTTGTTTATCAGATTTTAGTGAAATAAACAATTAATTCAATTTCAATCACACTTATACACAATATATTCAATATACAACAATGCAACCACACTCATAAACAACATATTCAATAAATAACAATTAATACATTTTAATTGAATAAAGTTTTCTTAATTTTGGTAACCTTTTTTTTTTTTGTATAAATATATTTTGATATCTATTTTTGTATCAATCAACGATAGTGATACTAAGTATGGTAATTTTTTTTCTTTATAAGAATAGGCCTCAATTTTTATTTCGCTTTAGACCCCCAAAAACTTAAGGCCGGCCTTGCACGAAAGTGTGTTCTCATTTCATGATTTAGAGTTCGTTTGAGAAGTAAGTTAGTTTTTTGACTCTTTGACTATTTTATTCTGGGGCTAAAAAAATTTATTTAGAATAATTTTTTTTTTAACTTTTGTAAGAAAAAAAATAAAATAATTATAAATTAAATGTGATATTTTATCTTATTAAATTAAAATATTTATTTTATCTTTTATGGTTAAAATAACCCTAAGGTGATGTTTGGGAAGTTGGTTTTGGTGGGTTAGGGGCTAAAATAGCCACAAAAAACAAAATAGGTTATTTTAGCCACAAAAAACAAAACATCAAATCCAACTCATAATCATTACACTCCTCTCTCACAAAAAAAGTCAAAAAAATTAAAAAGTCAAAAAGCCTTTCCCAAACCAGTCTTTTTAGCCTCAGACTAAAATAACTAAAAATTCAAAAAACTAAAAAGCCAACCCACTTCCCAAACGGAGACTAAATCTAACCTAACTTCTTTCCAAACGAGTATGTATGAGGGCCATGGTGGTCCCAGAAAGCACTAGTACTGTACGTCCTACTAGCATAACAGAATTTGGAAGTGGTGGGCTGTGACTCAAAGAATCCGGATTGATTTTTGTTTCAAAAAGTTGTAAATAATTTAAAAAATTTATTAAATTTTGTAAACACAAAAAAATAGGCTTCCTTTTCTGTTTTTTTTTTTTTTTCTTTTCTTTTTCTTCTTTCTCTTGGGTTTGTGTTTGGTTTTCTTCAAAAACCAGAGGAGAGGAGAGGAGAGGGGAGGGGAGGAGAGGGGAAGAAGAGACAGAGGAAGGGAGAAGAAAAAGGAGAAGAAGGAAGAGGACGGAACCCACCACCATCACCACCGCAGAGGACGGACCATCGAACTTCCACCGGCAACTCTCAACTTCCTCCTTTCTCTCATCTTCTCTCTCTCCTCTCTGATCTTTCCCCCCCTTTTTTTTTTACACAGCTTGGATTTTGGGTTTGAAATTTGTTCTTGAGTTTGAAATTTTGGGAAGATGAAGGAGGTGAGGTGGGTTTGACATGGCGGTGCTTGGCGGTGAGGCGACTGGAGCACAGACAGAGTCGGCGAGAGACGAAGAGAGAGGGAGACGATGATGGTGGGTGTGGGCTATTTTATTGTTTTGTTTTGAAATCTGATTTTTTTTTTTTACAGATTTACTCATATTTTGTTGATATCTGATTTACTCAGTTTCCAATTTTGTTGAAATCTGATTTTTTTTTTTACAGATTTGAAATCTGATTTGAAATTGGTTTAAGAATTTTTTTAGAAAAAAATTTCCTGTTGTTGATTGGGCAGGGGGAAAAAATGTTTTCTGGATGATGATTATAACCCAAAATTTTTTCTGGGTTTGTTGATGATGATGTTTGTTGAAATCTAATTTTTTTTTTACAGATTTGAAATCTGAAATCTGATTTGAAATTGGTTTAAGAATTTTTTTAGAAAAAAATTTCCTGTCCTCTCCTCTCTGGTTTTCTTCAAAAACCAAACACAGACCGAAGAGAAAGAAGAAAAAGAAAAGAAAAGAAAAAACCCTCCAAAATGACGTCGTTTTGGAGGGCGGCAGGAGAGCGCGACAGGAGAGTGCGACGGAAGATCTGGATTCGTGACTCGCAAGGGTAAGCGAGGGTGACTTTTGACTTCATCACATCTGTAGTAAAATTTTCTCCTCATGTTCAGCTTTATTCATCCTTTTTGTTTTAGGTTGTCTTTTTATTTTGGTAGTGAGGGTAGTTATATCTGCTTGTGTCTGATGCTTTTACCTTGATTCTTATCAAATTTTAACATGCTGCTGTCCTGTATCACATGAACATTAGCACATGAGCATGTTCATATATACATACTTTTATCTATATGTTTTCTTTTTGACTCTGTACAAATATGCACATTTATATATATATATATATATAAGTGTGTGTGTGGGGATAAAATTGAGCAGTGTCCAATAATAGATTATTTAATAATTTAATAAATTTAAAATTATTTATCTTATTATATAACAAATGAATCTCAAATGATTTTTTAGAAGTAATCTAATACATGTAGGTGAGGCATGGCGCCGCGGCGAGCAGATTGGCGAATGGGAAGACAAGTGGAGTCAAATTTGCAGATTACGAACGACTTCACATCTTCAACCAATGAGGCGTCAGCACGCGTGCACTTGTCGTATCGTCATCCGCACGGAATCGTTTGCCTAGTGAAATAGCAAGCAAAGGCAAAACAACTAAACCACGACAACACCTTGTTTATGATTGGCAAACCATTTTATTCATTAGACAATACTATACATATATTTATAATCAAATGTTCGGATTTTTCTTACATACATTTCGACTTTCGACTAATTTCAGAAGACTTTCGACTAATTTCAGAATTTATGTAAAGCGTTTCATTCATTCCTTGATCACATCAAATATTATCAATATTTTTATAAAATTGTATCTAAGCACTATTTGTTTGGATCAAGGTTTTAAAAATCGGACTGGTGAGCGAGCTGGAAAAATGATCGGGTGGACGGGTCACCGGTTGAACCGGTGGGTTGAACCGGATCGAACCGTGACGTCATAATTATGTCATAAATAATTTTAAAAAATATATAAATTAATAATTTAAATATTAAATTTTCAATTTTTTTCAAAAAAATTTTAAAATATTTTTAGTAATGTTTTTCTATACTTAAAAAAAAAAAATTCTTAAATATAAGCCATAACACTTCACATACTAACAACAAATAAAATTAAATATGAAAATTTAGCCATTAAAAACAACAATCATAGCAATAAAAATTATGAAAGCATCCAACTAAAGCAATCCATAAGACATAAGTTACAAAAAAGACAAAACTAAGTCCAAAGTTTACAGACAACACAACATAACATCACAAACAATCTTTGATTTTTTCCTAAATCTCCTAGGGACGATAATTTAGCCAATCATCATCATCATTCTCATTCCTATTTGCACTAGAGCTCGGATTGTTTGATCTATTATCAATGTTCACGTCACCAAAAGATCCCAAGTCGATATCATCTCCAAGAAGTTCTACCTCCATATCATCCTCAACATCATCTACAATAGTTAAAATAAAATCATTAAGCTGTCATTTTGATAATGATAGATAATAAAAAAAAAATGTTGCTTAATGATGAAACATTATTTTCTAACCATCTCGTAGGCCATGACATTGCTTCTTATATCGTGGAGGCTCATCTTCTTCATAAAGAATTTTTTCAAGCTCATCATAATCAAACAATGGAGGCTCCTCTTGTTCTAGTCTTTCTTCTTCAATAATCCAAAACTCGGTTTTGTCAATGCTTTCAATGTCAATGGGATCATAATTCCTTGTTTTGTAATACTTCCTATATTAATTCAATTGTAAGACTAAATAAACGAATAAAATAAAGAATCCATTAGTTACTATATGAGAAAGATTAATTTACCTATTCTTCAATCGCAAGTTGTAATGAACATACACGAGATCATTAAGCCTATGATGTTCTAGTCTATTCCTCTTCTTTGTATGTATGCGTTCAAAGACGCTCCAATTCCTTTCACACCCAGAAGAGCTGCTAGTTTGACTAAGAATTCGAATGGCTAACTTTTGCAAATTTGGAGCACTGTGTCCAAACATCTTCCACCATTCATCTTATTATCAAGAAAGAAAGAAAGATATTATAAAAAATAAAAAATAAAAAGAAACAAGAAATAGATAAATGAGATAACATATTCTAATCACAAGCATATAATAATGATAATTACTATTAAAAAAAGAGAGAGATTACCAGGTTGTGTTTTCTTTGATGTAATAATAGCAAGCTCTCTTCCAAAACTGTCTTGTCGATCTCGAAACAATCTAAGTTCAAAAAAAAAAACCTCAGTATTTATTAATTTCTTCCAATCCCTATGCCTTTTGGGAGATTTGGTCAAAACTCCCTCATAATTAAACTTTAATGCATTATAGACCAGCATAAACAAAATTCTTAGAAAATTTCAACACATCTATCTATCTATATTATATTATCTATATCTATATCTATATCTATCTATCTATCTATCTATATCTATATATCTACCTATCTATCTATACTATATATTAAACAAAAGGGGGTTTTTAACATACAACTCTTGTGGGAGCTCCAATATCCCAATCCTAATTTTCTAATTTTCTGATTTAAAAAAAAACTCAGCATTTATTAATTTCTTTCAATCCCCATGCCTTTTGGGAGATTTGGTTAAAACCCCCTCATAATTATTTAATCGTTTTATTTACTATTTTAATGGTTCTTCTTTACAATTATTTTATTTATTAAGAAAAAAATATGATTGTAATTAGTTAGCATAAAAATATTTATGATTTGTATGATTGAAATTATCTCCTTTTTTGATGTATTTGGTCTAGCCAAAAAAAATAATTATAATTTGTATTTGGTTTAGCAATTTCTTCTTTTGTGTACTATTTTAATAATTCTTTTAATGGTTCTTTTGATTGAAGTTATCTCATTTTGTGATTTGTAAAAAAAAAAAAATTTATAATTTGTTTTTTTAATATGATTGAAGTTAGATAAATATAAATACTCACAAAGAGAAAAATGTGATTGTAATTAGTTCAACAATTTTTTTTTTTTAATGTGATTGTAGTTAGTTCAATGATTTTTTTTTTTAATGAGATTGTATTGTAATTAGTTTAATAGTTTTTTTTTTCATTTATTTTTTTTATCATGAGAAAAATGTGATGTGATTGTACTTTGTTCAATAGTTCTATTTTATAATGTGATTGTATTATAGTTAGTTCAATGGTTCTTTTTTTTCATTTACTTTTTTTTATTATGAGAAAAATGTGATGTGATTGTAGTTTGTTCAATAGTTTTTTTTAAATGTGATTTAATTGTTTTATTTACTGTTTTAATGGTTCTTCTTTACAATTATTTTTTTTATTATGAAAAAAATATGATTGTAGTTAGATAGCATAAAAATATTTGTGATTTATATTATTGAAATTATCTCCTTTTTTGATTTGTATTTGGTCTAGCTAAAAAAAAAAATTATAATTTGATTTTTTAATATGATTGAAATTAGATAAATATAAACACTCATAAAGAGAAAAATGTGATTGCAGTTAGTTCAATGGTTCTTTTTTTTTAATGTGATTATAGTTAATTCAATGGTTCTTTTTTTTTTTTTTTTAATGTGATTGTATTGTAATTAGTTTAAGGGTTCTTTTTTTTTCATTTATTTTTTTTATTATGGGAAAAATGTGATATGATTGTAGTTTGTTCAATGGTTCTTTTTTTTAATGTGATTATATTGTAGTTAGTTCAATGGTTCTTTTTTTTCATTTATTTTTTTATTATGAGAAAAATGTGATGTGGTTGTAGTTTGTTCAATGATTTTTTTTTTTTAATGTGATTGCATTGTAGTTAGTTCAATTGTTCTTTTTTTTTAATGTGATTTAATCTTTTTATTTACTGTTTTAATGGTTCTTCTTTACAATTATTTTTACTGCTTTAATAGTTCTTCTTTATAATTATTTTTTTATTATGAAAAAAATATGATTGTAGTTAGATAGCATAAAAATATTTGTGGTTTGTATGATTGAAGTTATCTCATTTTTTTTTTATTTGTATTTGGTCTAGCAAAAAAAAAATTATAATTTGATTTTTTAATATGATTGAAGTTAGATAAATATAAACACTCACAAAGAGAAAAATGTGATTGTAGTTAGTTTAACGGTTATTTTTTTAAATGTAGATTGGTCAGAAGAATGTCTATACATTTCAGAAGGTTAAAAAAAAAATGTAAGTATAACATTTTTACTTTATAACATTTTATAAATACATAATTTATGTATTGTTCATTAATAATAATACTAAACCTTTGTTTGGCAATGACTTTTTTAGTTGGCTTTTTGGCCTTTTTGACTTTTTTAGCCTGAGATAATAAATTCTTATTTTTATTACTTTAATTATGCAATGTCAACATTTTCTTTTAAAATTACATATATTTTATGCTAACAATTTATAAATATGTTTGACATAATATAATTTTTTTTTTAATTTAATCCCGTGCATAGCACGGGTGATATACTAGTATATTTATAATCAAATGTTCGGATTTTTCTTACATACATTTCGACTTTCGACTAATTTCAGAATTTATGCAAAGCGTTTCCTTCATTCCTTGATCACATCAAATATTATCAATATTTTTATAAAATTGTATCTAAGCACCATTTGTTTGGATGACGAATTAATTACTGGTGAGTTTTTAATAAATCAAATAGGAGTTGAGTTTAAGTAATTTGGTTTATTTAGCGGTGTAGATGTGGTTATTGAATCGTGAACGGCTCATGTAAATATTAGTTATTAAAAAATGATAATTTTATTGTTTAAAATGCTTGTTTTGATACATACTAAAATATCAACCATCAACTTATTTAAAAGTTCAAATTGTTCAATTTTTAAAACCCTAAATTATCTATGAAACAAATGAAGTTGATTGCGTATCAATAATATTATATATTTGGAGCACATTAGTCATTAAAAAAAATAGATGGCAAATATAATTTTAAAAATAAATAATTCATTTTATTAAGATAAATATGATCAAAATATGGCTACCGAAAAATTAAATGGTTGAGAATAACGAAACCATCCCAACATGGGTTCATAATGAAGCTTTAATCGTTGTTCGACTATATTTGAAGATATCAAGTCCTTGGCTGGTCGAGATGATGTGTCCTTCAAGGGGTGCCCTAGAGTAGCTAATGAAGCATCTCATTGGATGGCTCGTGCTTGCCTTGATGAGGATTTGTCATTGGATTGAGTCTTTTACTCTCATTTGGGCCTTGTTCGATGTCTCTCTTTCAAGGGGAACTGACCTAAAGGTTCAAGCCCAACATATCACGCCCCATTTAGACTCAAAACAAATTCAATACTCCATTAAGTCCTCAAATTAACAATCAGACGAAAATACCCTCACATATCATCCAATTTACACACACGTAACCTCCATCCACGATCATCTCACACCAGACTGACCAGTACACTGTCACATCTTTGCCACTTGACTCTGCATTCTCAGTCCTCTATCTCTCAACCGTTCGACTCCACTACTTCTAAAACCCTACCCTAACCACAAAACAAAGCCGTTCATCTTTTCCAATTGTCGACTCTCAACAACACAGCACGAAGCCATTCATCTTTTCCAATTGACGACTCTCAACGACACGAAGAACCATCACGACTCTGAAGAATTTCATAGTTTCTGACTTCCGATTCACAAAAATGGGAAAAAAAATAAAATCTCTCTTCACCTTTTATTTTTCATTTAAATTTGTACATTATTCTTTGATATTCTGTATATATCATACCATTTCAATAACACTTTCATAAAAAAAAACCTTGTATAAACATATTTTACATACTTCAAAATGTATAAACCCTATTTTACATATTTTACCTACGATTCTAGATCTCTTTTTCGTTTTATTCTTTCTTAGATTATTAATCGCTTGTTTTTACACATTCTAGTTATATTTAATCTCCTGTTTTTACACATAATCCCTATTTTTACACATTCAACTTCTTGTTCTTATTCTTGTTGTTGTTGTTGCTTCTTATTGTTGTTAAATATTGACTTTTCTTCTTCTTATTGTTGTTACATTTCGTTGAATACTTCATCTTCTTATTTACAAGATACAATGGACTGTTTTTATTGTTGCTAGTGTTTATAAAACTAAAGTATCATACAGTTTTATCACTCTACAAGTAAATATCTAAATTTATTCAAACTACAAATGAAATTGCAAAATTACTCAGTTTAATCACTATTCAAAATAAATAGGTAAACTTATTATAAAGTGCAAATCAAACTGCAAAATTATATAGTTTTGTAACTATTAATAACAAATAGATATAACTTAATATTAAACTACATATAAAACTGTAAAATTATACAGTTTTGTAACTATTAACAACAAATAGATATAACTTAACATTAAACTGCACATAAAACTGCAAAATTATATAGTTTTGTCACTATATTACTCATGCCCTGCTGTTGCTTTCATTTTTTCAAAAATAGCTATTGGAAGATATTGGAAGAAGCAAACCAATATACCCAAAAATTCAATTAGGGATTTAAGTGTCTCCTCTTTTAACACTCCTTCACCAATATCCACTAACATGTCACCATCTCCCCCTCCACAAAAAACTCAACCAACACAACCAAAAATAACCAAAAAAACCCACAAAACAACCACACTACCTACAAGAAAAAGCCTAAGAACTACACTACAGACCACACCCACACAACAAACACCAACCACACCTCCAACTGTTAGGGAAAATCGATGTGATTTCCCACAAGTAAATCAATCAACGGGAATAAAAACTAATGCGGAAAAATTAAATCAAAGGCAACATAAGAATTTTTACGTGGTTCCCTCAATGTGAGGTACGTCAACGGGATCGAAATCCGATTCTACTATCAACCAAATAAGTTCCAAACGATTACAAACGAGACACTAATGGTCTCACAAAACCACCCTTAGGTGAATTCCAAATAATCACAAATAAATAAGAGGAAAGACCTCACAAAATAGATGAACCAAAATCTTCAGAACCAGAGTTGATTATATTTTTAAATTGATTAAGAATGATTGTATTTATTAGGTTCACATAAAGTATTAACTATTGATGATAATTAGATTGTATTTTGTGAGTGTGATTAGACTTAATTTATTTTTCAATACGGTGATTGTATTTTTAATCTATGTTTTTTTTGAAAAAAAATAAAAATTGATTGTATTCATTATATTCACATAAAGTACGCAATATTGATGATGATGA